ACCTAGTCATAGGATCAATTGATGTAGCATCATCCAGGAAAATAGCAAAAAGAAACCAAAGAATGATGAAACGATCTCAAGAACCTGAAGAACCATTTGAAGAGCGCCCAAAATTAAAGCCTAAAGATACTGCATCTGAGCCAGGAGACTCTGAAAATGCGACTGGGAATGATTCTGGAAAGTTGCCTGACTCTAATCCCCAGCCCTGTTGTTCTTCCACAACTGAAAACGTTTCAAATTTGCAAATGAGGGTAAATCTCACAGCTTTCGCTAGGGAGTGCGATCGTTACGGTGTTTCAGACAGAAGCGCTGCATCACTTTCTTCCGCTCTGTTACAAGATTTGGGCATCGTTAATGAACAGGACACTTCTAAAATAATAGATCGAAATAAAGTTCGTCGGGAAAGGGAAAGGCACAGGAAAGAATTGCAATATAAGAACATGGAGGTTGGAGTAGAAGCATTATATTTTGATGGACGGAAGGATAAATCCTTGACGCAAACTAAGAAGGGCGATAAGTATTACTATAGTACCATCACAGAGGAACATATATCCTTGGTAAAAGAGCCAGGTTCCATTTACCTCGGCCATTTAGCCGTATCATCTGGATCAGCTGTCGTCATCAAAGATGCCATATTGGATTTCTTTAATCGAAAAGAAGTATCGATTGAATCGTTAATAGCAGTTGGATGCGATGGCACTAATGTCAACACAGGAACAAACGCAGGAATAATAAGACTCCTAGAAATTGCTCTAAACCGCCCTCTTCAGTGGTTTATTTGCATGTTACATCTAAATGAACTTCCCTTACGGCATCTTTTAATCCAACTTGATGGTGTTACTCAAGGTCCGAAAGCTCTCTCTGGTGCCATTGGAAAATCAATACAAGCTTGTGAAACCCTCCCTTTAGTCAGATTCTCGAAAATTGGGAGTAACGACATTCCTGATTTAGATAGAAAGATTTTGAGTACTGATCAGCAATATTTGTATGATATGTTGCATGCAGTATCATCTGGAGAATGCAGCGAAGACCTTGCGAGGATTAAACCAGGACCAGTCGTACATTCAAGATGGGTGACAACGGCGAGTAGAATCCTTCGGTTATATGTCGCATCGGAGCATCCCTCGGAAAATCTGGTACACTTAGCTAAATTTATCATGAAAGTATATGGTCCATTATGGTTCAGTATCAAGTGTATGCCATTGTGTACTGAAGGTCCACGACATTTGTGGAGATTGATTGCATATTCAAGATATATGCCGACTGATTTAAGGAAGATAGTAGATGTGGTAATACAGAGGAATGGATTCTTTGGCCACTCAGAGAACCTGCTTCTAGCGATGCTGGCAGATGACAGAGAGCACATCCGCAAGTTAGCATGCCGCAGAATAATTGCTTCTAGAAAAGAGGACAAAAATTCAACATCTGTCAGACAATTTCGCGTACCTCCTTTAAACATGCAGGCAGAGGATTATACGGAAATAATTTATTGGTATGAAACAGACAGGTCAGAACCACCAATATTAAGGCACGTCTCCGACGAGGACCTGCAAACTTTTGTATCTGGTGAAGAAACTACAGCACCCTTTCTAGATTTGCCCAAGTTCCCCTGTCACACCCAGGCCACTGAAAGATGTGTACATTTAGTTACAGAGGCATCATCCAAAGTTTGTGGAGAGGAAAAACGAGATGGTTTCATAAAATCTCGAATCGAGTCGAGGAATTTAATGAAATCATTTAATTCTAAGTCAGAATTTAAGCTGAAATAACTTTTTGTTTAATAATTTTTTGTTTTATTTTTCTTACCTACATTATTATTCCTACACTTAGTTTTAATATTTTTGTTTGGATTTTTTGACTTGATTCTACCTTATAGATATCTAACGAGGCGTACTGCCGTCAATAAAGCTATTATTTCGTTAATTTGTTTAGATTTTAGCTAAAATTGTATTGTCTACATGAAATAGGATTTCTTTATTTTCTGTTAGGTCTTTGGGGCACCTCCAAAAATGTTCCGAGAGCCTCCAGTTTTTGAACACAAGCTTTTTAAACATTCAAGAAGGGTTTACACATAGGGCCGTATCGGAAATTTTTTCCAAAAAAAAAATTTTTTTTAGGGGGTTGGGGCACCTGAAGGGGTTGATTTAAAAGAAAAATTTTTTTGGGAAAAAAACTTACTTTTATGAATGGCAACTTTTGCCACCCGGGCCATTATCAGATTCGAAAAAAAGTTTTTTTCGATCCACCCTAATGTTCAATGTCATCTTGCGGCACGAAAGCGATGGGCGTTATCATCTTTGCAGTTGAATACTTTCCAAGATGGTCAGCCGTCGCCAAATGTTTCCTCAAATTTTGTATTAGATGAAAAAGGCATCCTTCAATATTGGCATCGGGAAACTCCTCTCTAATGGCATTGTGTATTCCAATTTCAAAGTCTACATTAACTACCTCTGGATTGAACTGTGGCCAGGCACCCTTGATGAGTTGAAATGTCCTCCGGTACGTTTCCATTCTTTTGTTTGGCAACAGGCAAAATAAGATGGGGAAGACGTATCTGTTCCCTCTGCGTGCAAGAATAGAAAAAAATTGACTGAAAAGCGGGGGTGCCGTAGAGAACGTTCCGTCCATGTAGACCTCTTGCATTTGACCCGACCACGCAGAATTGCTTTCGCGTCCAAAAATCAATATGCGATTGACATCGCCTTCTCCTGAATCCGACAGTAGATACATCTCCTCGTTTTCGTCATCGGTATGGTATCGCGTATATTCAGGCGGGAGTTTGGGTTGACGGGTGCCGCTCCATTTCGGTGACGATTGATCGCCTTCCTCATAGTTTCGCTGCTACAAAGTTGTCCAAGCACGGCCTCAGTAGCATTCCGAATGACATTACTTCTTATTTGCTGTGGCGTTTCCATGGTGGTTTCTGCTCTACGTTTTACGGCCGTGCCCACTTTGGCTAGTTCCACTGCAGTCGCATCACCTACTTCTCGGCATGTATGGCGTGTCCGTAATGAATGGAAAGTTCCGTCAGCTATATTCGTCCAAACCCGTCCCCTGCAGTAGATTTTACTGTTGTCCTTCCGGAAACACCTCCAGTACATTTTTGTACCGTCTTTGCTCTCTCTGTCTTGTACATACATGTAGCCATCATGAGCAAACTTTTCCGCACAGCGTTTCGTTAGTATGACCGGCTCCATATTCGATAGATCGAGAAAAATGAACAGATATAAAACGTTGACTGAAAATGATTTACTCGGTTTAAATGCTGATTATGTACGAATATTCAAAACTAACACTCGGCACAATATTAATGGTGCACGCTGCACGTATAATGAATCGAATGCTTTCTGAGCATTTGCAGTACCTATTTATGCAAATTCATTTATGCACCTAGATAAACAGAATCCCTAATACCTACATTTTCGTGAAATTTCTTAATCCTTATATTTTAGGGCGGGTCGCATACAGGTAAAGGGATTAGTTTGTTAGTAGAGAGAAAAATGATGACACCGTTTGATCTCCAAGCACTTAAACCGAAGTGCAATTACCTAATTTACAACTGTTATGAATTCTTGAAGGGACAGGCGGTTATAACTTTCAAGGAAGGCCTTTTTCACAAATGTTTACGATTACCTGTCGTATAATATTTCTTGCTGTTTTGGGAATTTTGCATAAGATAACTCAATCCTATTTATAGTCTTCGCCGTAATAGTTAATTTCTATAGATCGTCTATCATTAGTGTTTCCATATATAAACATACATACATATATTAAAGCCTTTGGGCCATTGCGTTCCAATGTGCGTCTGTTAGAGTTAGAACGTCTATAGCGCCGGAAAGTCCTGACGCTGGAACGCGCGGCGCCGAAAAATTCCAGCGCCATAAAGTCCAAATTCACGGCGCCGGAACGTCGCGTACCGGATGAAGACCCTTTAGGATGACGAACAATACGTGAAATTCACGAGGATGTCTCCTGCAGTGTTTGATAATTTATTGGGGATTTTAGAACCGGCATTTCAAAAAGACTTGACAAAATGCCTTATTTCACCTGCAGAACGATTAACAATAACAATAATGATAAATATAAATGCAGAACCTTTCAATGATATTTTGTAGTTACTTGGCAGAAGGCTGCTCGATGCAGAAAGTGGCGACAGATTTTTATATTGGCAAGGCAACTGCACACTGCATCATCAAAGAAACGTGCTCTTTTATTTGGGATAGTCTTTCGTCACTGTATTTGTCTCCACCTACCCATGACGAGTTTATTAAAATTTCAAAGGGGTTCTACAACAGGTGGAACATGCCAAATTGCACCGAAGCACAGTGGTAGCGACTATTTTAATTATAAAGGCGGCTACAGACATGGGAAGTTTGACGAATTCCAAATAGCAAATGTTTGCCATTTGACAAATAGCTTAGATACACACATATGCGTTAAAGCAAACGTTCGGAATTTGCCAAATTTCAAAAATTTCCCGTCGATTGTCGGTAAATAAGCACACATCAAAGGGCTGAAATGTTCGTCAAATAGCAAACTTGTCGCTGATACACATATGCGTGCTTTGCAGAAGTTGCAATTGCGACCACCTTTGATGACTATTATGCGTAAAGAATATGAATCTATTAATCTGTGCACAGTGTGCACAATTCATTTATTATTGTATTGCGTGCGCGATGGAGTGGACAAACGAAACGGTGATCGAATTTCTAGAACTGTACGAAAACGAACCCATATGGGATGTCGCGAATAGTACATGTGTGAGTGTATCGTGGTACATACTAGAAGTTTGAAGTTCCCGTTTTGATTTGCCATTTGCCAAATATGCACATGTGTGTAGATTTATACTCGTGATTTTACGGGTAGCTGGACAAACAGTTTGGCGATTGACAAACATTTGATATTTGACAACTTTTACATGTCTGTAGCCGCCTTAAGAAGAGTAGTAGGTACCTAACAAAGAAAGTGTTTGAATATGAATACTTTTCAGTATTGTGTTGATGGCAGTGTGCGATGCATTTTATAAGTTCAGTCTTGTCGACATTGGTGCATACGGGTCACAATATGACAGTATCGTGTTTTCGGACTCGCCATTTGGAAGTACCATTTTGCACCGGCAAAGGGTAATTTTGCATCTTCCCCACGAGACGGCTTTGCCCAATACTGACCGAATACTACCCTATTTTTTCGTGGCGGATCAAGCGTTTCCGCTACACGAAAAGATTATGAGGCCATGTCCAGGAGAAAGACTAGGTGAAGCCAAGGAAATATTCAATTACCGGCTGTCTCGAGCAAGGCGAACGATCGAAAACACCTTTGGGATTTTGGCTTCACGTTGGAGGGTGTTTCGGAAACCAATCATTGCAAATGTTGAAACCTGTATAGCGATCACAAAGGCGTGTGTGGCGCTGCACAACTATTTACAAAAGGGAGAGGAAGATTTACCACTAGAGCAACGACGATACTGCCCACCGGATATGGAGACCACATTCGCGCAGACGGAGTAGTAAAAGAAGGAACGTGTGGAGGTCAGGAGGAGAACAGCTCCGATTTGTGGGACGATTAGGTTCCAATAATTCAACCAAAATTGTAAGAGAAAATCGTGATATGCTGGCAGCATATTTCACCAGCCCGGAAGGAGGTGAATTGTTTTATATTGTATGAATTTTTTTATTACAGAAATGAAATATCAAACATAATTTTTAAAATATTTTGTTTTTTTCTTGTTTTTTGTTCTGGCGGCATGTCTTTTAAATGCAGGCCAATCATGCGGCCGAAACTTATGTCACTGTCGACTTCTTCTAGATCTTATTTTTCCTCGCCTTTCTTTTTCAGGTAATCCTCCAACGTTCCCAACAACGTTTGGAGGACATCTTATAATGAAGTGGCCGCTTTTCTTTTCTTCCCCCTTGTCTCTGCAGCCCGTAGAAAGGCTTGCTGGTGGAAGGCACTTCCCTGCTGGTGGAAGGCGCTTCCCTACTTTCAGCCAGCTCTTCTAAAGTAATGATATTAATATATATTAAGAGCCATACATCCCACACGTTGCTATGCCCTACATCCTCTTCGCCACCGTCATGAGAGGGGTGTCCCTCTATCTCGATTGGTGGGTGCCCTTCTGCACTTGCAGCACACGAGGGCCGTTGGACATTTGAGGTCGTACTAATAAAAGAAATTACAACATTAAATACAACAAATCTATCTACGTTCTTAAGCGTGTTCTACATTATACTTTTTTCGTCAATTTCTCATCCAAGTTTCTAGAAACTAGAACTGAAACTAGAAAAAAATCACCAAAAAAGTACAATTTCTAGTCAAGGTCGACTTATTTCAAAACTAGCTCCGGACCGACCTATTTTTCTTGTATGCTTCGTCAAGTTTACATGCGCATTAAGAATCTCAACAGCTGTTTAGTACGATACCAACCTGAGAAAATTGGGGTTATGTTAAGACTCAGTTCTTGTGTGATTGCAATTGTTTTGGTGTTTTAAATATTAATTATCTTTATACTTGATTATGGCGAAAAAATGGTCACATGAGATAGTCGAGACGCTTGTATCTCTGTACCAACTGCAACCTGTGCTATATAAGGTAAAATACGAAAGTATTCAATAACATCCTGTAGGCTGTACTCCTCATTTTTAGACGGATTCTCCAAGCTACCACAACAATTTACTCCGCCATAAAGCATTAGACGCAATTAGGACAGAGTTGATGAATATATATAAACAAGACTTTACAAATGAAGAGATCTCAAAGAAAATTAACAATTTAAGGACTCAATTTATAGAAAACGTTCGAAAAGTGAAAAAACAAGCTCCTAGTGGGTCGGGCAGTGAATCTCCAAAACCAGCATGGTGGCTATACGATAGTTTATTTTTTCTTCTTCCGTATTTAAAAAAAGATAAGGGAATTTCAAACATTAGGACATTGTCGAAGGATATCTCCCAAAACACGGAAGTTTCTGTTTATGAAGTGCCTAACACGGAATTGGTATGTACCTAGTGATTACAAAAGTACTGTCGAGTCGTTAAGAGTTTCATAGCGGTCGGCTGCGCACTTGTCCAAATTTTAAACGAAGGTCGACCTACAATATTTATCACAAGTTGATATGTTTTCACCGCCACTGGTAAGTAATTTCTATAAATATTCAACAGCCGATTCCTGACGACCGCAGCGGAACTCACGATTCACCTGCGCAGTTCCATGCATACTCTTAACGACCCGACAATATTATCGTAACATTATCAAGTATTTTGTCTGTACATGTACCATTCAATATACTATGGTTTTAGGATGTACCAGAAGGTGAATACAGCATAAACGAAGAGGGAGCACTTTCTCCAGTTAATGATTTTGAGGATCTTACTCCAACTCCTTCACCAGCAAGCATGTCAGAATCAGATCCTGTTCACAATAAACAGTCAAGGACCACTGTTCCTGCCAAGAGTGCAAAGCGTTCTAAGAAAAGAAAAGGGGACGATGCAGTAAAGGAAGCTATGTTAACTGCAATTAAACAAATTAATGGAAATGAAAATTCCGAATTTTCATCCGATATTGAGAAATTTTTACAGTATGTTGGCGTAGGATTGCAACAAATTTCCAATGTCAGTTTGTATCGGAAATGTAAACTAGAAATTTTAGGTATTATTGACACATATCAAAACAACCTTAATGCTTAGTATTTTATTTTATTACTGTAAAAACTCCAATGTAATTAATTGGAACGTGAACATACTTATTGAAATGTTAGGTACATTTCGAGTATTGCAATAAGTGTATTCACATTCAATTTATACTTATCTAATACAATGTTCCTCTTAAATTTAAGCAACGTTCGACTGCCACTCTACAATGTCAATGTTGTTAAAATAAAATTTGAATGTTTCACGTATACGTAATACATGATTGGTGGCACGTCCTCTATGAAAAGTGGCATCATGAAGCTCGTTTGGGGTTATATCGTCATCCTTATCTATAGCTTGAATTTCTGTATTTGAGCGAAGAAAATTATGCAAGGCACAACACGCTTGGGTTATTAAAATTACTTTGTCTTTGTCTAAATTTATCGGAGTTAAAAATACCCGAAACCGATTACTTAATATTCCGAAAGTATTCTCAATCACTCGCCTTCCTCTACTTAATCTATAATTGAAGATTCTCTGTTCTTTGGACATGTTTTTGAATGGGTACGGTTTCATAATGTGCTTCTGTAGTGGGAATGCAGCATCAGCTAATAACACAAAAGGTACGCTGGGGTGAGTCATACCAGGCAAAGGTTGATCATTTGGTAAATTTAAGGTCTCCTGATTTAAAGCCAATGCAAAGTCACAATCTTGAAATACACCTAAATGACAAATAAACAATAAAAATAGGTATTAATAGATCATTAAATACCACCATCACTGACTCTACCATTCGTTCCGATGTCAGTATATATAAATTTATAATTTGCATCTGCAATCGCAAGAAGAACTATACTATGGGTTCCTTTATAATTATAATAATGGGATCCAGCACTTCTTGGGGCACGGAATACAATATGCTTTCCGTCTAAGGCACCAACTGTATTTGGTATATTCCATAACAGCTGGAAACCTTTTGCTACATTGTGCCACTCCTCTTGGGTTGAAGGGATCTGTTATGGGTACAAATGATAATTCGCACTATGTGGGCAAGAGTATCGCAAATCTAAAAAACAAATTAACGAGTAAATCGCTCTGATACAATTTCCGAAAACTACTAATGTGATTTTCTGCCACACAATGAAAGCTATGTAAATCTTTTTTGGTGCAAATGTTACATTTTTACAAACACTTTATGGAACACTAATACGAATTTCTCAGATCATTTCCAAAATTTAGCAATTAGGTTATATGATAGTTTAGCACTATTGCATTTTGTTCTCAAATTTGTGTTGCGTTAGTTTTACTTAAAAATAAAAAGAAATATTTCTCATATTTTTGATATATTTTTATATTTTACAATGCTATTTTAATACAAAATAAATTCATTCTTTTAAAAAATCTTAACTAAAAATGTACATGTTAAAAATTCCAGCTTAATCGTTATCACTTTTGTCTGTTTTCTCATGTGGTAAGTTTTTATAAAACTGGTGATACTGTAATGGTAAGGCCTTTTTGCTACAAAGTTCCATAAGACCATTGTACTTTTTTTTGGAAATCGGCAACGGCCGATCATACGCGCATTTTAATTTGATGTCCTTGAAACTAATCGTTGGTTTTCGTTGACGATGATCAACAAGGATTCGGTTGTAGTATTGTTGGGAGTAATCTGTCTTGAAGAATATTGTTTTTGGATGAGTCTTTTCAAAATGAATAATTTTAATTTGGTTCCAGTTTACCTTTTTTCCATCTACATCAATACTGTAGTTTTTCCCTGTATTGCCACAAAGGACCTTTATATCGTAAACATCTCTCTGTGTAACTTCATAAACCGCATATGGGGGAGACTTTTTCTTGGAGAGTGCTATTAGGGGAATCCACTGAGCAGGTACATTAATAGTATTATTGCTTTTAAGCATCCTCTTTTTTTCTTTTTCTATTGTGGAGTGCATACTGTCGCCCTCGTTTTGAGTGTGCCCTGTTATAAGGTATTTATGTGTGATAGAATGAATGTGTTTCCACTTATTTAAGGCATAAAGATAGGTAGCAGCTATAAACTTATTTTTGTTCTGACCACAGCAGTTATCTGAGTAAAATATCATACTATGGTATGTCGTGCAAAAGTTAGACAAAAAATGTAAAACAAAACTACCTATTTCGTTTGCACCTCTCTTAGCGATGGTTTCATCCCACACATAACAATATCCTAGTTTCTTAACAATATTAAAAAATGTTAAATTTAATGTTGACAACTTACTTTTGTAGAAAAAGTCGGAGGTTGTTCCACATGGAGAAGGCAACACTGCTTGCAAATCATATACGGCAACAAGGACAGAAGGATCTAAGCTAGCTGCCTGTATATCCTTTTTCTTTTCCTCGCGGCTTAGATTTTTCTGTTCATGGTGAGTTTTGTACACCCTTTCCATGTCTTCCTTTTCTTTAACAGTAGAATTAATGAAAGCCGTACATAAACTGCACTGGTCCTTTTTAGGACTGTGAAACCCAATATTATACTCGTAATTAAATATACGGGCATAATGAAAGTATTTTACGTAGGGCTTGTTGTCAGTAATGCATTTTTCAGTGTACAATCGATAAAGTGTGCTTAAATTAAGGCTACCGTCAAAGAACTTTCTCTTTGTTTGAGCACGTAAATAGTGAGACTCTACTGTCGGTATTGACTCGATATGTTCTTTAACTCCCGTTACTAGATATTCACTAATTTTATTCTTCTTGGAATGTTTACCCCTATTATCATCTTCAAGAACTCCATTTTTTGTTTTCTTTATTGCGGTTCTTATCATCATGTCACTAATATTGAGAGTTTCATTGAAAAATTTCTTGCAAACTCTAATTTGTTTAGAAGCAACGGAAAAGTGATATGCGTTGTTCTTCTTTCGGTGACTATTTGGCTTTGGGTATCTGTATTTTGGTTCGATAGGTATAATGTGTCTGAGTATGAACTCCCTTTGTCTAGTAATATCACCCAATTGCCAAAAGGATGTTAAAATGCGCTGACGTTCTTCAGTGGATAGATTTTCGCGGCACTTAAAAGCACATTTTTCATTACAACCACTACCTAACTTTCTTTTTTGCTTGTTTTTTCCAGTGGACGATTTATATTCTTCTCCATGGTTATGCTTGTATTTTCTAATATTTCGTTTCCATTTTTCTGGTTGTTGTTTTTTTTTTTCTACTGCATAGGCCCTTCTCACCTTCATCAGTAGCCTCTGAAATTTCTTTCCCCTCACCTTTTTCAATAACTTCCGTATTTACATCAACAATCCCCTCAATGCCAGTTTCTTCTTGCATTAATTGTGTGCTGCCATTATTATCGAGATTATCATTTCCCTTTTGTACTACTATATCTTGTAATATTTTGATCGTACGTTCTTGTGGAATTTCAGAGTACTCCGTGGAACAGGATGCACTAGGTAACAGTGTGAAGTGTTGTGAATGGGCAAAGAACGGCTGTAAACTTATAAAACCAGCATTTTCATTTTCTATAGCTGTAGACTAGACTGCTCATACAACTTCACAGGTGTTAGTTCGGCATATACGGGTTCATACTACATTTACCGCAATGAAGGTATAAGTTTCACTAAATTGAGAAATAAAACTTACCTTTGGACTATCCTGATTGCAAATAGACTCCTTACAGTCGAATGTTCCATCTGGACCCAACTGAAGAACAGAGATATGAGTTGATACAATTTACAATGATAAATAAGCTAGGTACCTTATTTTGGATATCTGAACATTTGCTATTATCGGAGCTCTCCCCCAATTTAGCGTTTAACTCCACAAATTCACTTTCCTTTAGCGCCAAACTTACTAATAATTTCCCGCGAGACATAATTTAAACGTCCTTTATCTTAATAAACATGAACGGAAATGAAATAAAGTTTGAGAAACAAAATGATTTCGTTGCATAAAAAAGGCGCGTTTGAGTTGCGATAGTTTACGTTTCAACCGCCCAGACAAAACACAAGATTAAAAGTATCGTAACTCAAAAGTGATAGTATTGCACAAAACGTCTCTTACTTTTTTTGTGATGCTAAAGTATTTTAAATGCTATATAGGCTTGTTAGAGAACATTTTTAGTTACGATACTTTAACACATCATAGATTACACTTTTTGAGAGCACTTGCTAGAAAAAACAAAAAAAAATTTTTTTTTACTTATGATACTCTTGCACTCATAGTACGAATTATCAACATTACTGTATAATTACTTTACCTGTAGATATTTGTCTTTTAATGAATTATATAAAGCTGCACATACTTCTGGAACAAACTTTGCTATACAACTAACAGATATTCTGCTGCTATAAGATAAACTTTTAAAAGTTTCCCCGGTTGCCAAGTAAGTAAGGTAACAATTAAACGAAACCGTGAGGATACTGCTTGTCTAAATTGAGTACCCCGCTTTTTTATGTCTGATTCTATCATTTGGTGTACCATTTCAAATTCATCTTTGCTCATTCTAACATAATTGCAAAATGAGTCTGGGTCTTCGAGTGCCAATTCATGTTCTACAAAAGCGCATGATCCCAAACTTGCACTAGTTCGTCTTAATAACCACTGTCTTGCCCAACAGGATCGTTGCTGCTCACCGTCATATAATCTATTTAAGCAGTAAAGTTTATAGAGCTTCCGTAAGTTTTCTATTTTATTCCGTTTCGGCATTGTAGCACAAGAAAATTTATTTCAAATTTACGTTTGTGGGTTGGTAGGCCCAAAAATGTTTCTTATTTTGAAGTTAGCTCCACTCCACTCCACAATATGCATTTCACTTCACTTTAGTGTAAAGAAAACTTTGACTACTTTCTAGTTACTAGAAACTTGGATGAGAAATTGACGAAAAAAGTATAATGTAGAACACGCTTTACTGTCTGCTCTTGATGAATCCCAATAGGAACAGCATTTTTTTGTATAAGTCAGATAATTCCACACCTCCTCCGGCATCGGAGGCGTTTAATGCTGCCACCCGCCTCTTTTCAGTTACGAATCTATTACGCAGCATCGCGAAACGTTGCTGGCATTCCTCCGCTGTACAATTATAATGTAAGCACATATTTACAACGGTATGAATAAAACAATTACCATTTCGCTCCAACACCTGCCCAATGGTCTCCCAGGCATTCTTTTGTGCCTGCTTATTCTTGAAGTCGTGGTGGCTCTTATCGTAAACCTGTCGAAACAATTTCACGACGTCGATGAGCCGCTCATCCTCACCGTCAAGCGTCTGTGGATATTAAATATTCTTGGGTGGTAAGATTACTTACGTTGGGACTTTCCTCTGCCTCAAGTTTCGAATAAAAACGTATGTACACAATGTTAGCAACTATGGAACTAGGAGACTGTAACGGCCCTTTTAATATTTCTCGAAATTTACTTGATTGGTTTAGATTTTAGGAGCAACTTTTATAATTTGGACAGCTGGGATTCAAAATTATGTTAAGTTTTAGGAGGTAACTGTAATGCCCCGTGTACATTAGGTAGTTTTAGACAGGTTAAATTTTTTTGTTTTTGTTAAGTAGGATGTTAGTTTGTAAAAAGGGGTTATTTGTATATTTTGGGGCGCGCGAAGGCGGGCCAGGGAAGCGAACGCCTGGCAAGTCGCGGAATTATTCGTGGGCGCAAAGTTGCGTTTTCGGCGGTGTCGTAAAGGAGTAAACGCGAAATTCGAGAGTCAAACGGAAAGGAAATTTGTCGAATAGAGCGGCCGGGCAGTGTTAATTGTGGTTGTCCGTTTAAAATCAAAGTTTAAAAAGATCTCTAAAGATCGACCAATAATCAATAGCGATACTTATTAAAAAGGGTGAATGTCGTATTGATATTGACGTTTGTAATAGTAGTGCCAGAAGTGGGTTTACCTGCAATCGATTTCTCTCGGAGATACCGGCATCGTCACCGATTAATAGAGGAAGACCGCCAACGAAAATTGGAACCAGGTACTGTGAACTTGCTCTGTTTTGGTGTGACCAATCTTTCGGGGTTGAACAAGTTATAGACATCGTTTTTTTATTTTAATCATATCTTGTAGTTAACTCTAAATTGTATATCTGATTCTGTATTAGGAGGTTCTTGTAGTAGGTAATTAAGTAGGAGTAATTGACAAGAGAGATCACAGAAAGAGTGGCCACTGATAACCCTTTGATCAAACTCAGGAGCGTAGAGTTAGGTTAGTTTGTTGTTTTAGGTTTTTTCTGTAGCGTAAGGGATTATAAGGAAGTGTGTAAGTGGAAGAATTTAATGTGATATTCTGTGCTAATTGTCAATATAAACCCGGTAGTTATCCGAATTTTATTCTTTTTTACTTCTCGATGTGTTAAACGGCTCGCCAGGTATGTAAAGGCTGAGGTGGACGGTAACAAAACGAGATTCACCCCGTTACGTCATAATACGGTAGATGGAAGACGATTGAGGTGGTAGATATTTTAAGCGGACGAAACCCTTAGAACGTTTAGAAGTGTAGTGAAAGTAACGAGAACGTTACAAAAGGTTAAAAACTACGTTAGGAACTAAATACTACGTTAAGAACTGGGGAGGATTAAAAAAAACTACGTTACAAACTAGGGAGGATTAAACTACGATAGAAACTAGGGACGATTAAAACTACGTTAGGAAATAGGAAAAAAATGTAGGACACAAAGGAAGCAACGAGTACAATGCACGAGACGGCTAAAATCGGTTTGTTATGAACAAACAGCGGTTATGACTCACGACCAAACAAACAAATGCGCAAGCGCTTGCTTTGGATTCCTATTGGTTGCTTCTTAATGAATTAGTGACAGTATAAATCGCATCCTTTTGTCTTTAATTATAATGACGCTGTTAATGTTAGTGAACTAATGTTAAAGAGTTAGTGTTAATGACTGTATAAAATAAGACCTATATAATTCAACCATAAGAAACATGGAAAGGTTTTTTTTTTCTTTTTATTCGCCCGAAATGAATGCCGAAATCGCGAGTACACAAATAAAAATTGTTAAGTACTTATCTCTTTTCCCGTCGCCCTCAAATGTAAGCTCGTCGTCGCCTGCCGGTCGTTGACTCCTAGTGCGGCTCGGACTCCTTCTGAAATTTCCTTGATGTCGGTAACCTCAAAATAGATTGGTTCGAATGTAGATTCCTCCTCGATCTTCGTCGAGTAGGTTTGATTGTTGTGATTTTTTCTCGTTGAATTTGAAAAAAATAACGCCTGTCGATGAAAGCAAATCGCTGGCCAAAAAAGAAAAACAACGCATGCCAAAAGGTTTAATAGAAATCCCACAATGGGAATTCAACTGCGCTCACGTGGAAAGTTTTCTCGCTCTTGGTGGCGTTGAACTCACATATGATTGCGTCACAATTGCACATTACTTATTCTCAGTTATTCACGAGTTAAGGTAACGAATTTTATACTACGAAACGTTGAGCACTTTCACTGTTTCCCTACGTAAAAATATTCACGCTAAAAAAATGTTCTCTATTGGTAAAAAAATGTTTTCTTAAATTTTACCACACCCGCCTTGACTTTTCTCAAGCGGCCATCTTCTTTTTTTTCCTTTACTCACTCTTACCCCCTTACTCACTAAACTCCCCAGAACTTATGTACAGTATGTTCCCAACTTAACTAACAAATATTTATACACAGTATGACAAAATGAACCAGCAGAAATGTCTGTGCTGTTACACACAGCAGGTCTTGTCCCGAAGGCCTTCGACTCCGTCTGGCACACAGGACTCCTGCACAAGATGCTAGTGAGAGGCATATCGGTTTCCATGGTACAAATGATTAGATCATTCCTAAAAGGTAGATCTTTCAAAATCAAACTCCACACTTGCAGATCCACATCCAGACAGACACTGCCGGTGTGCCACAAGGCTCAATCCTCTCTCCGATCTTGTTTAACAATGTCTGCGCCGACCTACCGAAAACCGACGGAACCATCCTCGCCAGGCACGCCGACGACACCGCGATTCTGGCCAAATCGAGGCTATTTGTCTCATGCATCGGATTGCTAGATAGGGTGCACATGATGTGCCGTAGTGACTGTGTTGAGCCCATTGAGTTAGAGGACTTATGGAGGGAATCAAATGCTTGGTCAGACGTAGACCACGGGATACAAAGGCTTTTAAGTATATGAGGCTATAAATATAATCAAATTTGTTTTCAAACAAAGCAGAAACGCACATTTCACATTTTAATGTCGTACCTAGACGTTTTGATACAAATCCGACGATATATTTAACTACCTCTTCAGAGAACTGACTAAGATTATTAGCTGTAGCCAGAAAACTGTATGCATTATCCTCAACGTGTTTCTTGATATACAACAGTTTTGTTTATTTAAATGTATTTATTAGATTAAGTACAAAAATATCTTATGTAGTGTTCAGCGTTGCAGTAAAATTATCACTTAGGGCCGGTATTATAAAAGTACAGTTCAAGCGGAGATTAATCAAACGGCGATTGAACGTCAAACCAAGATTGAGAGCGGTTGCGTATTATAAACACCTTGGGAAGAGCGTTTGGTTAATCTCCGTTTGAGCTTACGATCCCTAGGATGGTAACACTGCGGGCGAACCGAGGACCAATCAGAGCGCAGAATTTTCAGTGGCCGATGCGTCAGCTGACAGTGACAGCTGATGACGTTTACGTTCTTCGCACCCATCGCGCCGTTCGTTCTTTTCGCTTCTGTGCCATTTGCTCCTGCCACTGTAACTGTGCTGATCTGTTCATCCCCTTGCTAAATCGTTTTACATAGCGCTGTTTTGCCTGCCACTGTGCCAATGATAGACAAGGAAAAAAGCGAGTCGCTTTTACGTACGCGTACGCCCATCAGCAAGCGGACTGTGTTCAGTCATATTTACATATAATTGAAAATAAACGGGCGGACGCCTCTACTACCAAGAACAAGGTAAAGCATCAGGATGTCATCATTTGTGAGTTTTTTGTTTGCATCTATATCCCTACACCCTCGCATGGAAGAAAATTGCAGAGAAGTATAACGCTGCATTGACTGAGCCAAATTTGAGTAACTGAAGACAAAATATGATCTAACACAGTGAAAAACCTTACTGGTAATGAAGCTAGAGCTGGTGACGACAGCCTCACCATTGATGGGCAATTATTAATTAATTAACACACCTAGTTGCGTAAATTCGCAAAAATAATAGAATTTCCATAGAAAAGCACAAACCTACTTGTTTGTTTGAGGGACAATTTAGTGCTCGAAACCTGTTTTATGGGGATCTAACTGTATCCTTGGATAACCGAAATCTCTGCCGAAATTCCTCTTCATCTCACTTGCCCAAATGATCAACATGGTTCTCTAAAATTTCTGCTCTTCTTCTAATGAACTCATCCTCTGATGAAGAGTCATCGTCGCTTACTGCCCACAGTAACCGATCTCTTGCACGTCCAATTTCAATTATTTCCATTTCGTTATAAATAGAAACAATGACAAAACAAAATAAACTGGTTACAGTTCTTTACACGTGCACGCGCCTAATCTCCGTTTGGGCGCCAAAACCCGAGAAAATTGGCGGGTTGACTACAATCGGAGATTGAGCTCTGGTTACGACTTAAACGGCGTTTATAATACGCGCAATCGCACTCAAACTACGATTGAACGTCAATCTCCGTTCAAGCGGGCTTTATAATACCGGCCCTTATTGTGCTATCGATCCACTTAATTTAGCGCTTCACTAAGGGTAAGTGAACCATACGGACTAGAAGAAGCCAAAGAGACCGGCAGTGCAAATAAATACAAAAAAAACCTCGAGACCAAACGAGAGTCTCACGAGACTCTCGGCGAACTCATGATTAGTCTCGTCTCGTGACGAGACGAGACGCTCGGCGCAATCACTAGCACCAACATTACCTTCGTTAATGGTTTTATAATAAATTGAAGAAAGCATATTGTTATTAGCGGGAGCAAATGGTTTTGCATGACCATGACCGTCACATAAAACGTGTTCGTAGAAGTTTTAATGTATTTGTTATAACATTTTTTAAATGCAATTTATTTACTTCATGTCTCTTGATAATTAATAATTGTGCTGACTTTTAAAGTGCCAATTGTGACTCTCTGTAATTCCTGACAAAGTAAGTTTTTCATCTGTAATTTCAATCAAACTTTGTCTTTTCATATACTTGCAGGAGGCACTGATGATGGCGTAAGCCGAAAGCGCTCTTTTATCTGCTCGAATATACCATCATTTACTTCCTATCCATCAAACAATGATACTTATTTAATGGACATTAGTAACACCACTAATAATTGTTACAATTCGGAACCATCCACTTCTTCCACAGTTACTGCAGTATCGTCAAATGAACAAGCGCCGCATTATGTAGTTTTTGACCCATGCTTGGAAATACCCACCAGCGGCACTGAAAATTCTATAATAAATATACTTCCTGATTTTCATTGTTAGAAACTACGCCACTTGGCAGCAAAATTTTAAATTATGAAAAATATGGAAAATTGGACAACTCCAAAAGATCTCTTTTGGTTGATATTATTGCGAAGAGGATATTTACTTATATAGTGAAGCATCGATTAACACACAGCGATTATAACATATTGACGGCAAAGATAATAAATGCACAGGTACCGTAAAACGGGGTTTTGCTATTTGCTCAAATATAATTGATTTCTTTAACAAATCGACAGCAGGTTGATGTTCGTCAATTTCATCCATTTGCATACACCTATGAATTAAAGAGTTGACCTACAGATTTTGGAGATTAAAACAGGTGTCAAATGAACAAAATACTTTAAGTGATTTCTTGCGAGGTAACTTACGTGTACCTGAGTATGTACCAGTATGCTGGAAGTTACCTATTACATCACCGTTAATGACGTAATTGGTTGTATGGAAGTAAGATCACCTGAAAATCGAAAGTTAGGCATAACATAACCTTGTTTTGTTTCTGTGTTTTTGTTGTAATTTTTACTTGTACCTATGTCGATATTAAGTAATAATAGTATGTGGATGAATGCATTATTAGAAGAGTTTTGTATAGATGATACTTTGACCACAAGTGTGCACATAGTAATGCATTTTCTATTAAAAGCCGTTCCTGAGTGGACCAAATTTATTGTATTGCAAAAGCAAAGGAAATGCCATTTTCGTATGCCACTTTGTTATGAGGAATGGATAACAAACTATCTTGATACCGATTTTTTTATTCATTTTCGAATGATAAAGTCAACATATTTCAAATTGACCACTGCAATTGGAAAAGAATTAACAGTAAAAAAATACAGAGGAGGGTTTGAAATAATACCTCTAGAGAAAGAAATCCTAATCACTCTCTGGTACCTTGCCAAAGGAGAAACGTTAGTGTCGATCAGTGATAGATTTAATGTTAGCGTGTCAAAAGCTTTCTATATTACCATGAAAATTATTAAAGTTATCTGCTCTCTTATGCCTATTTATATTAAGTGGCCTAATGCGGAAGATTGCGAACAAATTGCAAATGATTTTCAACAGCGTTGTAATTATCCAGGTAAGGACATTTTTAAACCGCACAGCAATCAGCGTAATATGTTGTTCCTAGATGTGATTGGTGCTATTGACGGTTGCCACATAACTTGTAAAATACCCAAGGAGCAGCATGACAGTTATCAGGATCGCAAGTTTTGCCATTCCATTACCCTTCAAGGAGTGTGTATTTCCTCCAGATTATTTACTAATATTTCTGTTGGTTATCCAGGATCTGTGCATGATGCACGAGTAAGATAGTTTATGCAAACCTACAATCATGCTGTTAATAGTTTTGTAGATACTTAGAGAATCGGACTTGGGAAAAATCTGTGAAACTAACTGTTTCAATCTGTTTTACGGTAGATACCACTTGGTGGGAGATTCCGCATATCCATTAAGGTCATGGTTAATAACTCCGTATAGGTAGACACAAATACAAATAATTGCACATAGGTATTTATTGTTGTGGTTTAGGAACACTGGAATTATGCCGCTGCAACGGAAACACAACTACGCACATAGTGTGACACGGGTTGTAATCGAAAATACTTTCGGCATGTTGAAAGGCCGTTGGAGGATTTTAAATTTTGTTAATGTATATACCATTGAAAAGGCTATTGATATTATAACCGCATGTTGTATACTGCATAATTTTTGCTTGTTAACTTGTGATATATATGAAGTAGATGTCACATCAAGTGAACATGATAGTTGTGATACTTATATTGGCCGTAGAAATCGTGAAGGGACTAGAAAACGCGATTTGATATCACAAACTCTTTAATTCCTTTGTAAAAAAATTATAAATACTGATTTTGCTTGAATAGATATACATATAAAAATATAAACAATTTTTTAATCATCATCATCGCTATCACTAGAATGTCTTCTTCTTTTTCTTGTAGTTTTTTTAACCATTGATTCAAATAACGAAACTATTGTGGCTTTATGGGCATTTTGCTGCTCTAACAATTTATTCTGTGTAGTCATGAGGTTTTCTAATACCTTAAATTGGGAAGTTTGCATATCAATGTTTTCCTTATGCATCGTCAATAATGTTTGTATGACATCTGCTTTGGGTGGTTTTACCGATTTACGTATATTTTGGAAATGAGAATCTAGGTGTGGTGTATGGGATCTTGATAATGGGGTAGAGGATTCGAGTAGATGGGAAGATGATGTGGGTGTCTGTGATCGGGAGGAAGATGACGTGGGGGTGAGTGGTTGCTGGGAAGTTGTTGCACATGGCTGTGGTTGATGGATTACATTTAATTCATCTTGAGTATCTGCTAATTGCAGTGAATCCTTAATATGCCCTAATGTTATTTTGTGTTTATCACCCAAAATGTTATGTAATAGGTCATAATGAGGTGGTGGTTCCCGTGCTTCACCTCCTGTTGTTTTTACATGTTTTATAAAATTTATGTACATTTTGGTCAAATTCTGAAATTTTTGATAGCATTTTTTCCCTCCTTCTTTAGGATTTAGGGGAAATCCAGCACTACCTAGAAGCTCTGCAATTTTCCCCCATATAGACATTTTTACAGTTTTTTTGTCCGCAAATAAAGTTTGAAATTTTGCAGAGTTCCTTAGTTCCAACATGTATTCTGTAGCACGCCTATCAAGGTCGGTCGGTTTCCCTCTACTGCTCCAGATTTCTTGGTCGGTTTCAGCAGCTGCGACTGCGGTTTCAATAGTTTCAGGAGTTTCATCTGTAAACATTATGGTATAATTGAATTCATTCCGATAGCTTTAATATACTAAAAACTATAATTATTTTGCCTTAAGGGTCCCATATACGATACGATTGATCTGTAGAAACAGTGACATATCCTTTTAGATTGATCGTAACAACGGTTCACTCCTTATATGGAGTTTTGTAAGTATATTATAATGCTTATCGTAATGGATAAACGTCTACATACCAGAAATTCGAGAGATATCTATGTCGGCAATTGAAGTGCCTTTGCATACACCGAATTGTTCTAAAAATCCTTCCTCTATTGCCCTTGATATGTACTCTAGCACAAAATTGGCATCTACAAACAAAATGTGTTTATTTCTGTTAAGTATGTGTGGTTTTAGTATTATACGAACACATGCCTTTTGAGGTTCACTGATATAAGCAATTAACCTACCTGTTTTTAGTGCTGTTGCAACCACCCCACTATCCGAAAATGTTACAATTTCATTGTTAATTAAGAACTTCACCTCCACTAAAGTATCATCATCTTCTAGACTATTATCCATTATACCTATAAGTAATCTAGAATATAAAGTAACTATCAACCAAGAACTAATGTAAACTCACTACTCACATGTAAACATAAATAAAAGAACCAACCTCACAAATTGAGGTTAGAAAGTTAACTTTACTATTGCTTACTCCAGGTTGAAGGTAGGTAAGGGCATGTTACTTGGTTAGTGGTTACTCTAGCATACTACAGTATGACGTGACGTCATTAGTTACTCGCCAGAAATTGAAAGCGGTCTTACTGAAGGTTACTTTTCTCGCCAGAAATCGCCTTTTACTTCGCAAATTATAAAAACATACGTGATTTATAATGGATTTAATGGAACGGCAAGCACTTTTACTATAATTCAGATTCCAAATACTCACATTCACTCGCGGAACAAGCTTAATCTCAAAGGAAAACAAGAACGAGTGTGTAGCTTCACGTACGTGCGAATATGGCGATGGTAATGGACGGCCGATAATACAGGAGACTTCCCAATCGCCGTCACAACGTATATACATATTATATACTCACATGTATATACAGTGTGAGCAACAATGATTGAAGCGTGCGTCATCACCGCTTGTTCCTATTAATATCAAAACTACCTTCTTTGTATGGAGTTGTATACGAAAATGACGTTCTGCGCTGTCACGGTGACGTGCGTCTATTCGTATTTCGTATCTTGTATCAAATCAGCATATGCTATGAGCGGCACATTGCCAATTTAGCTGAAGCGGCACGCTTCAATCTTTGTTGCTCACTCTGTACATTAGGGTGGATCGATATCCAGCACAATTTCACTTTTTTGTTTTTTCAAAACGCCTGTATTACCGAAAGGTGTGGATAGTGGAAAGAAACTTTCTACCACATTTTGTTTTTTTTTTTCAACTTTCATCTTCCACCGCCACAATGTCAGAAAAAAATTTTTTTTTGTAGGGGAGGGGGTAGTTTCCTGAGGAAGGGAAAGATTATTTAGTGCAATAGGAATAAAATAATGGTCGATTTTTTCTTATCCTGGAAGGCCTTCCACTGCCACAAGGCAATCACAATTCTTAATTTTTCAAATATTTATTATTGTCAGTTTTGAAATAATACTAAAGCTAACTTCAAAGAAAAATGATAGCTTAAATAAGATTAAAATTTTATTTCTTAAATGAAAAACTAACAATTCGGAAAAAACAAAAAAAAACACGAACAGAATAATTTAATGCAACTTGAAGTTCTGTTTCGACTCGAATTTAGGCATCCTCGATCGAGATTTCAACATGTTTCTGATGACTCCGTCTCTTCTTTCTCCACCACAGACAGCAATGGATGCATCAGTCACAATTTTCACAGTTCTCTGAACAGCCTGCGTATGGCAAGGTAAATTCTTGATATATGAAAGATCGGACGATTCTGGGTCTTTAACATGTTTTTTCAAATCATCCAGAGAAAAACGACTTGTTATTGGTGGTTCAGTCCACAGAATCTTTTGGGCGTCAACCTCAACAAGTTCGTAATATTCCCTGGCTTCATAATTGAACTTCGGAATTGAGAATTTTCTAACTGTTGAGTCGGCCGATGTATTTCTGGCTTTCATGATCCTCAGATAAGCAAGCTGTCTGATGTGCTTGCGATCATCCCAAAGCATGCAGAGAAGGATATTCTCTGGATGCCCGAAATACCCATTCCTTTGAATCGTCTGGAAAACATCTTTCAGCTCGCCTGGAAGATAATTGGCTAGTTGTATAGTTTGGAAGAGATGTTTCGCTCCTTTGATGCATTAACTCTCTACTTTTATTGTAAACCACATTGGTGCATAAACTGTCGCAACGAATCTTGCCAATATCATGTAAATATTTCTGGTCTGTGCTCAAGATGTTTCTGTCAATTACAGGAAGTGCAGCTGCAGACTCAATCCTCGAGAAGTTGATGACTGGAAGGTTCTCACAGCCCTGAAGCAGTTTCCCAATAGGTCCAGAAAATCCTCGAGGACCAGAACTCCATCTAAATGTTCTATCAGATGCCGCAAAGGGAGTTGGTTTGCGTGCAATTGGCAAACTAACCATTGTAATGGTCTTTTGATTTCTTTTTCGAATAAAGGAAGATCAAGAAAAATCTATTTTTAGAAATTCAACCAGACTGACTGTTCATGTGCTGCGTACATGATAAACATTTTTTAATGATAGAAAAAGAAAATTGGAAAACGTTTTTCACCGCCACAAAGTGATAAAATAATACAAAAGAAGTTTGGCTCTGTGGCGGTGGAGGGGATAATATGTAAAAAAAATAGAAATACACAAATACTTCTTGTTTACGTACACAACTTTCGACGATACAGGAAAATCAAATTGAGAGAAAAAAAATCTCGATCCACCCTAATATACATAGAATATGTATAGATTTATACTCGCTCATGATATACATAAGAGCTACATACAATATACTTGGAATTCTTTGAAATATTGTGTATTGAAATGTATACCTATTGTTGATAAGATCTGTCTTCTAAAAGTCCGTATCAAGTTCAAACGGTATGTTCATATGATATACATATAGGACATAAAATTTATATATCTACTATGAATATACATAGTACGTGCATCAGATATGCAGGATATTCGCGGTAAGTATATTATGGATGTAAAATGTATATACATAAGATATCGAATGCTATGTGGGATGTGTAACCTGAAATTATTGGAGTTCGGTAAGTCTTAATAACTGTCGTGTATGAGACAGATGGAAAAGAAGGAAATGCATGTGTAGAAAATTTAATTACAGAACAAAATAAAAGAATGATGAATTACAAAACTAAATGAAATGAAAAACTACAGAAACAAAATTAAATGAATGAAGATGAAGAAAAATTAAATACTAAATGAAATGAAAAAACTACGGAAACAAAACTAAATGAATTAAGGTGAAGAGATAGAAAATATGGAAATGAGAAAAAATAAAGAAAAATAAATAAAGGTTTATCGTCTAGGTCTAGAGTATGGTTTTGGTTTTTTCCTATAAACGATAATTTAGAATTTTCAATTGATTGTTTGGTACTTACCATTTATGGTCCAAGTTGTGTTGCCGCTGTAAATTTATATAAAAAAAAAGTATTATCAAAATGAAACGTATTTACCTTTTGTTTTATTGGGTCCTTACAAATAAGGACCCTATAATTGGTCGTTTGGAGAACATATTGCCACATTTTTTTGCGACAATATGGTCTATATTTGTGCCAAATCCCGGGTTGGTCGCAGGTTTGTAATCAAATTTAGTTGCCACAAATGAATTGAGATGCTTTAAGCACATGGACAGAGCACGCATGCTTAAATTATCATCTTTCCGTTCCCTAACAAACATAAGTGCGATTTTTATGCCACTTGGGGAAGGGAAACACAGATAATCGTTCAAAGCCTTTTTATGGGCCTCTGACTTCGCCCATTTCCATAATTCCGGTGTATGAAAAGTTATTATTTTTAACAATTTTTTTTGTAAATAGTATTTGTAAATATTTTCTATTGGAGAGATACTTACATCAAACGTTTTGCTAGTGGATGAAAAT